ACTGAACAAGCAAAAGTGTCAGTTTGGGGTGAGAGACATTACTTACCTAGGAGACAGACTATCTGCTGCAGGGATACAGCCAGACCCTGAGAAAATAAGAGCTATAAAGGAAATGCCACAACCCAAAGAAAAAACAGAACTGCAACGTGCATTGGGCTTAGTCAACTATGTGGGAAGATTTATTCCAAATCTGTCGGCTAACACAAAGGCATTGCGCAGCTTGCTAGAAAGCGGAACTGAGTGGCGATGGGAGCATGAACATGTGACAGAGTGGGACATGCTCAAGAATAGCTTAGTTAGAGAACCGGTGTTGAAATTCTTTGATCCTGAGCTTCCAGTGAAAGTATCTACTGATGCTTCAAAGGATGGACTTGGAGCAGTTCTGCTTCAAAAGCATGACGTGGCATGGTTTCCGGTGGCATATGCATCACGAACGATGACAGAAGCTGAAAGAAACTATGCACAAATAGAGAAAGAGACATTAGGAGCAGTTTTCGGATGTGAAAAGTTCCATGAATACATTCATGGAAGAGAAGTGGTATTAGAGACTGATCATAAACCACTGATAGCGATCTCAATGAAGGCGCTAGGAGATGCTCCTCCTCGCATCCAACGGTTAATGCTCCGTCTCCAGAAATACAGTCTGAAGTTTGAGTTCACTCCAGGGAAACACCTGGTGATTGCAGATGCACTAAGCAGAGCATCTTTGAGCCATACAGGATCAAGTAACACAGAACATGATGTACAGGTTCATGTAGACTGCATACAAAAACACCTACCAGTGTCTGAGGATAAATGGAGACAAATTGCTAAAGCAACAGCAGACGACCGTGAGCTACAAGCTGTCATAGACAAAATCCACCTGCCAGGAGATCAGAGGTTGACAAACCCATATCAGAGCATTAAAGACGAGCTGTCAGTGGTGCATGGTGTGCTCTTAAGAGGCGAACGGATTGTCATACCTACCTCCATGCGCTCACAAATGGCAAAGCTCACGCACGAGGGACACTTAGGCATTGAGAAATGTAAGAGACGTGCAAGAGTTTTGATGTATTGGCCACACATGAATAAGGACATCGAAGCACTGGTGCAGCGCTGCGAGACATGTCAGCGGCACAGGTACCAGCAAGCTAAGGAACCCCTGATGGCTCACAGTAAACCTGAGGAACCGTGGAGAAAAGTCGGTACAGACTTATTTCACCTAGCAGGGAGGGACTACCTTGTCATTATGGACTACAAGTCAAACTATCCAGAGCTGGCGATGTTGACTAATACAACAGCACAACAAGTGATAAAACACACTAAAGCCATCTTCGCCATCCTTCATCATCCAGCTCTCCAATGCTGTACCGGTTCCTCTGGGTTCATTCCTCTATCCATCTTCTGCCTCCAATCATCCTGTACAGATAAGAGACTCTGATTATAGACTGTTCTGAGATACCTGCTATAATCTTCCAGTCCAATACTCACCTGCCATCCTCCATTGTGCATCTGTTTCAATAAACCTGTGAAACTTACTAGTCTGTGTCTCCCGATCGCTGACACATCTGGCATCCTAAAACAGACTGAGACTTTATATCACTAAAAAGGTGTTTGATCCCTCTTTGCAACATATAATAATATACATAAAATGTATTAAAGGGGCCGAAGGCCAATTTAGCTCAAAGGGAAATGATTCATTGATTTGCAATGAATCTATGGAACCGAATCACTGAACCGAGCAAATGACTCGTTTGAAGTTCATTTGAACGGGCCGTAATTTGCAAGGATATAAATACCAAATCTATAGTGAAACACTATGTCTTAGCAAGGTAACTTTAGATCGAACTGTACAAGACATTAAATGTGCAAACACAACACAAGGCAATTATCTTTTCAAATATATGGAAGCCTTTATTAGCTATTCTAAACACAACTAAGGTCTAAACATAATCACGCACACACACACACATTCATACAGTCGCGAAAGGGAAAGAGTGAGTTGGAAAGAGTGAGAGAAAGTTTCAACTTTCTATATGCACGTAAGACATGACCTGAAAGGACTACCAAGCATTAATTTGAACCTTCGTTTCTTAGAGAAGTTATTCAATTTACATTAAAGCACCAGTTCAGCTAAGAGTCTGGAGTACTTGCTTGTGTCTTTGCGTGGCTTTGGGGATTCCTTTGTTGCGTTGCAAGGAGGGGCGGTTCCCCCGGGTCCTCGTGGCGGGTCGTCTTTGAAGTGCCTGGAGGGATGTTTGGAGCTGCCGATCACGTGTGGTTGGCAGGCAAATGAGAGTCCTTATGCTTCGAAGCGCGTTGCGGAGAGCCGTTTGAAACGAAGCTTTGCAGCAAACTTAACTTTGAAACGAGACTCTTACGAAAAAGACAATAAAGGAAAGAAATGAAAGTAAGGCGAGTCGGATGGCTTGAATGAGCTGAATTGTAACCCTGATCTTGATGGGTTATTCGTCTGCTGGTCGAATTTGGTCTAGTCGATGTAGAAGCATGCGAACACGTTCTTTGTTTCAGAGATAAGCACGAACAGAACACTCTCTTGCTGTTTTAGAGAGAGGCACGAACTTAACAGTTACAGAACTGAACGAACTGAACTGAACACAAAACAAAACATAACATAACATGAGGTCTTGTTCCTTTGTTTGGATCTTTAACTTAAACTCTAGTCCAACCTCCTAGAAACTTCTGGCCAATGAGGTAATGTCATGATCTCAGGAGGTGGATCTACTTCTTGCTTATCATAATTTATGCATGGTCTGTGAGCTGGTCTCCAGCACTTAGCAGAGAGCCAAAAGACCATAGTTTAAACCTTATGATTATTATAATCATAAAACAAAACCTTTTACGCAGATTTCAATTAAGCCATCTTTTGAATTATGAGAATACGGTTCGTTTAAGAGTAAACGAGGCATTCACACTTCTAATGGTTGTATAACAATTACAAGAGTTAATAAGTAACATCAATTACATGATTAATATGTGATCTAAGCATTATCAAACACATATATTGTATGGACATTAGCAAACATAGGATTAGATTCTTGGGCAGAGGTCCATTGAAAATGGTTCTGAAGTGAGTTTGATTTTATGTGGGAGATCTCCGATCTCAACCGTAAGGTTACTGAGAGTTCAACTCGTAGGGGGACGAGGGAAGGTGTTCTGTGGAACATCTCTGTCAGGGGATCAAAGGGGGCTTTGTTGTGAGCCTCTCGTTCCACCATTTTGGAGCCGATTTGTCTTAGTAAAACATTAACATATTGACACGTTCGTCCTGTTTAGTGCCCATCTCTTGGGCCTGCAGGGCAATAAAAAGTCTCCTGAGGGGGTTTTATTATCCCCTAAAGCAAACCCTTGGCACCGTTCCGTGACTCTGGAATGTGGGCTCCAGAACTTTTGGAGTGTTGAAGCCATGTGAATTAATCCCATGAGAGATTACTTTGATTAAGTTGTGTTTGATTCGCCTCGATTCTCTACACTCTTTAATGTCCAGGTACAAGTCGAGGCTTTTCCTTTGTTCAATGTCAGTTCATGGGTTGAAGCCGGTTCACGCTCTTAATTTTGAGCTCTCAAAGTGCTCCAGAGTGATGCATTTAACCTTAAAATGTACAAAATTTTCTTGCGGGGGTGACATTTTGCCCTACAAGACATTGTGACGACCACCTACCAACCCCAGTTGGACCTCTTCTTTATCCTCATCAGCCATCTCCTGCTCTCTTGGGCTCTACACCAAATTCCAAGACCACCATCAGTTTGGCCAAAATTACGCTGTCTGACACTTCTAGGCTTGAAAGCTAAACCAACAGTCAGAACTGTGGTTACATAATACAGGCCCCGAGATATTATCCTGTGAAAAGCTTCAAATTCAAAACAGAGCTGCCACCAGAATTGAGGTTGGAGCCAATGCTGACTATAATTACAAACATTCTTCAAGCGAGTCCTACATATTATAGAGACAGAGCATTCCATTAATGTCAACTCCTTCTCTCTTGTTCACACTCGGCATGTGTGTGAGTGGGCTCTCACAATCCTCTGTATGATTATGTCACAAAACCTCATTTCCATCATATTTATAGAGATTATAAACCAGTAATCCTTCCATTACAACAAAATGCTAGCAAGTTTCTTGTTTGTTAGTTTTAAGATTTCCATTACACGAGAGTAGATGTTAAAACTTCATGCTAATTTGTTCTAGGCTTTCGACAAGATAAGCAAAATTAAGATGTAGCTTTACAGTAAACTATGCTTCTCCATCCATTTACACTTCTTTCCATATGGTGGGGTGACTCCCCTTCTGTCCGGCGTTAACGGCTGCAGTGTACTTGGGGGGTGACTCTGGCGTACCAGAGTCACTCCCCACTGTCCCCCACTCAACTCAGCCCAGCTTACTGACCTCTACATCCCTCCTGCTGCTGAGACCCACAATCTCACAATCTCTCCGCAAATAACAAATACAATGTCGTTTGGACTGTGTGGAGTAGGCCTATGTTTCTCTTATTTTCTATATTTTTCTTTCTACTTTTCCCTGTTGCTGTTGGGAAAACAGTAGTAACATTTTACAACATGAGTTATATTTATTAGCCTTGAGCATCAGAAACACAATTAACGGAATTTTGAGCATTTATTAATCTAGGTTACTGCAAATTTATGAAAATACTATCATTCACTGTAAATTAGTAGCTTCAAAAATACATATAGAAATTACAATTTTCCTAGATTAATAAGTGGTTTAAAAGCACAAAGTATAATTGCGTTTTAGCTTGTATACCTGATGCATTAACTAATGTTACTACAACAAATTGCACCTTATTTTAAAGTGTAATCGCAGAAAAATGGTCACATGTTTACCAATATTAATTTAAGTTAAAGCAATAGTCTGTCTCTGTTTGTGTTTTTTTAAGGGGGGAGATAGAGAGGGGTGTGAACAAGAAAAAAACTGACTCAAGAGAGCAGATGTCTATAAATGTCTGGGCAAAAATGCAAAGCCCTTTTTGGCGCCATCCCGACAAACACAAAGTATGCAACAGATGGGCTATAAACACATTTAAAAGATTCAGCTTTTCAACGTTCTTTCAGCATTATTGTGGCTCTTTAACAATACTGCTGGGGGCCCTGCACTAGCTGAATTGTGAGATGTGAAAGTGGAATTTTGAATTCCTGTCTGTGGGAGGTCCGCTTTGTGCGCTCATAAACTGCATATCCAAAAAAAAAAAAAAAAAAAAAAAAACTGACTCTACATTAGTAACATATTTTCCTCACAGCTAGATCAGTGCTATGTAAGGATGTTAGAAACCATGAAGGTTTTTTGTTGTTGTTGTTCATAAATTCTCCTATTCAATCTTATCAACCCCACACACTCAGTCTGCTGCTGAACATTGGAAAAGAAAACAGTCAAAACATCAGAAACTCTTTCATAAACATATATTGATATAATACAATATTGACAAACATTTATCAATCAAGTACAACAGCCAAACAAACAATCCCTAATAGTAACCGTGGGTGATCAGAAGAAGATTCTAGAGAATGAGTTAAGTCAATCAAAAGTCCATTTCCTCAGAATGAGATCAGGTCTGATTGCAGTCTTTAAGAGATCACATAGATGTCTTTCCAAACAAAAGATTACATTAATTTCTTGGCTAATGGCATTTCTGCCACCCAAGAGCATCAAGGAAATAAGTCCTCGGATAAGTAATCCAAGAGTGTCATCCAGCACAAAAAATCCTCTACAACAAAAAGAAATACAACAAATTACCCCTCTTACATAATCAAACAATATATATACAAAGAAAACGGATCAACTGAAACAAACATGAAAATAGATTCACTCACATTTGGGCAGCAAACAAACAGTTTCCCAAACCAGGATTTCAAAAGTAGCAGCAAACAGCATGTGGCAAATCACACTGGATATATCACTTCTTCTACTACTTCCCTTTTTTATAATAACCACAGGGTGCTGCTAGTGACCCCTAGTGGCAAGGATGAACATGGCCCCCAGAGGAGATAACATGCCTTGTAACAGGTTGTAACTGTTACATATCCCCCCCTCTTAATTAGAAGGATTATCAACAGTCCCATAGAAAGGCTTCATATTTTGTACATGAAACGTATCGACCTGATTAGGATCATCTAAAAATGACACGGAACAATTAACAGGACCAAGACACTTTTCAATCCTAGCAGGACCTTTCCACTTCACGGCAAGTTTAGCCATAAAGCCATCACTAGCACGTGACAAAGGATGAGTGTGAACCCAAACCATATCCCCAACCTGGTACTGCACGTCTTCTCCATCGGTTGTAATAACGTCTCTGTTTTTCCTGAGCTCGCTCCACTTTTCTTTGCACAGTTTTTATCAGGTCTTCCTGTCTTTCTAACACTGGGTACGCAGGATTGTCTGGATCTGGTGGTCTTTGAATGGCTCTTTCTAGAGGTCCTTTCAATTTCCTGCCTAGTGCGACTTCAGCTGGAGTGTATCCCGTGTTTTCCTGCCAAACCGTGTTAATGGCAAAACGGAACTCCGCCAACTATCTGTCCCAATGCCAGTGGTGATCCTGAACATAAGATGAGATCATGGTCTTGAGTGTACGGTTGACCCTTTCAGTGAGGTTAGTTTGAGGATGTGCTGTGGTAGTCAATTTTTGGATGACACTCCATTGCTTGAGGAGTTGGGAAGTGAACTGGGTTCCTCGGTCGGATACCAAATACATTGGAGTTCCCCACCTGGTGAAGATTTCTTCTACCAAGATACGGGCGATTTGAGGTCTTTTTGCCACCCGCAGAGGGAACATCTCTACCCATTTCGAACAGTAGTTTACTACCACAAGGAGATGCTCATTTAGCTTGGAACTCCTAGGAAACGGTCCCATGAGGTCGACCCCTAACATATGACCAGGTTCCACCACAGGAGTTGACTGCATATGACCAGCTAACTTGGAAATGGAGGGTTTATATTGTTGACAAACCTGGCATTCTTTCCAATACTTCCATACGTCTGAGCGTAATGTAGGCCAATAACAGATATCTACTAACCTCAGCAGAGTCTTAAGTCTACCAAGGTGGCCACTTAACGGGTTGTCATGCGCATATTTGGGAAAATCTTTCCGTAGGCAAGCAGGAATGACTAGCTCTAACTTTGACCCTTTCTGTCCATCTGGCATGCTGCGGAAAAGAAAGCCATTCTTTAACAGGTAATGTATACGCAATAGGTCAGGATCTGTGAGTCATCTGGCTTTGTTGGTGAGTTCTTGAATTTCTAGATCATCATTTTGATATTTGGCAATGTCAGACCATTCTATTGGAAAACTGGAAAAAGTGGTAGATGAGTCCTTTGATTTGACATGGGCTAACAGAGGAAGTGAAGAGACATCCGAGTGACTACGTGAGAGAGTGTCTGGTACAATGTTGCACTGACCTTTAAGATATTTGACATTGAAGTCAAATTCTTGTAGTCGGATGGCCCATCGGGTTAATCTGGAAGACGGCTTTGGGTGGTTGAACACCCATGTAAGAGCCACATGATCAGTAATTATTTCAAAGGCTCTGCCTTCAAGATAGGGCCTCCATTTCTCAACAGCCCATATGACAGCACAACACTCCTTCTCTGAAACTGAATAGGACTTCTCAGCTCCTTGTAGCAGGCGAGAAGCGTAGGCTATGACATGTTCTGCTCCGTCCAACTCTTGCGTAAGGACAGCTCCTAAAGCCACGTTGATAGCATCAGTCTGCACTTTGAAAGGCTTTGTCAAATCCGGGGCAATCAAGACAGGCGCATTGGTCAGATCTTGCTTGATCAATTCAAAAGATTTCTGACATTCCTCAGTCCAAGACCATGTTGCTCCTTTTCTTTTTTAAAGCATGCAGTGGTGCAGCCTTCTCGGAAAAACTATCAATAAATTTTTGGTACCATCCTGCAAGACCTAGGAACCGTTGTACCTCCTTCAAGCATTGAAGGACAGGAAATTTAGTAAAAGCTTCCACCTTTACAGGGTCTGTTTGTATTCCGTCACTAGATACCACATGTCCTAAAAAAAAAAAATCAAAGACCTCTGCATGAGGTTGCACTTCTGAAGATTAAGAGTGAGCCCTGCTTTGTAGAGACAATGATATATTGCTTTCAGGTGTGTCAAATGTTCTTCTTCAGTCTTGGAGTACACCACAATATCATCGATGTATACAAAACAATTCTTCCCCTTAAGATCCCTCAGCACTAACTCCATCAATCATTGAAATGAAGCAGTAGCATTTTTGAGCCCAAAAGGTAAACAGAGAAATTCAAATAGGCCTGATGATGTGACAAAAGCAGTCTTGGAGATGCTTTCAGGCTCCAATTCCACCTGCCAATACCCACTTTTTAGATCCAGGGTACTGAAGATTCCGGCTCCATGGAGTGACTCAAGAATGTCCTGTATTTGTGGCATACGATACGCATCTAGGAAAGTATTTGAGTTCAATCCTCTAAAGTCAACACAGAATCTTTGTCCTCCTCCTTTCTTGGGTACAAGGACAATTGGAGCAGCCCAGGGAGACGTTGAGGGCCGAATAATTTTCTTATCAAGCATCCCCTTTATCTCTTGATCAATGAAAAGCTGTTTTTCAGGAGACACTCTATAGGCTTTTCGGCGGATGGGTACTTCATTAGTGGTTATGATACGATGTTTTACTATATTGGTGTGCCCTATTTCATTGGTGCACACTGTGGGCCAGTCTTTCATAAGCTGCTCAAGTCGTAACTTCAATCCTGGAGATGTGTCTGCATTGTTCACAAGTTGATGTATAAGTGAGTGGGTTTCAGATGACTCTTCTGGTATGGGTAAGGCTAGATAGAATGACAACAAAGCTGTGGAAGAATGAGCAGGGGTGAATGAAAATATTTCTTCTCGGCATCCATTTGTGGTAGGCAGAGTATATTGGACTTTATGAAAATCCAGACAAATTCTAGATGACATAAGGAAATTCATTCCTAAGATTATAGGCACACTGAGATCAACATCCCTCATTATATACATGGACAGTGCAAACTTTCTCTACTGTAACTCACAATCACATTTCCACAATCCTAAAGCACTTAAAACTTGTCCATTGGCTTGTTGGAAAGTTTGTCCACAACTAGAATCCAACTGCTCTCTGTGCTTCAATTGATTCGAACAAGATTCTTGCATTAGAGTAAGTGAACTCCCTGTGTCGATCATGGCCTGGAAATATCTTCCACGGATCAGCATCGGTAGGGTCCCCATCTTCAAGTTGATCTGAGCAGTAGTGTGAATAGGTTGAATAACTCGTGTGTTTGAGGGATTCGACTTTGTATGAATGTCCCTGTCAGTTTGGATTTTCCGTTTCTGTACATCTGCGTTGGCCTGACTCCAATATTTCTTAGCTTCTTCCAGATCTCTTTCAATTTGAGTTCCAATCCTTACCAACTCACCTACTTCCTTTACAGTTCCTCTCAAGAGACTGGCAAGGCGAGGGTTGCAATTTCTCAAAATGGACTGGACAATCTCTTTCTCTGTCATCTCCTTTTTCCATCGTAGACACAGGGCTCTATAATGGTAGGAAAAATCATGAATAGACTCTTTGGGACTTTGCTTTCTCTCCAACAACCGTTTAGCAGCTTCTGTTTCATAGTCGTCGTTTAAAAAAGCTTGAAGAAAAGTTTGCTTGAACTGGCTCCATGTGAAGACGAATCGTCGTTCTGCTAGCCACCAATCCTTAGCTGTTCCCTTCAAAACTGAGGTGAGAGAAGCTAAAATCTCAGATTCAGTAAGAGGTCTAAGAGCAAGATATTCTTTACAATGTTCAATGAATGATATGGGGTCATTTTCTTCATCAGAGCCGAACTGTGGGAATTCAACTCTAACAGGAGGACGATATTGTGAAACATGACCACTATCTGGATTGACAGGTACAGGAGGCTGAGTTTGAGCACTGTAAGTTCTGTGGTGTGATAAGGTAGGAGCAAACATTGGAGGCACCACGGGAGTAGATATTAAGGGAGCTTGAGATTTTAATTTGGCATCAATTTGCCTATCTCTCCTTTTCAAACAATCCACGACGGACCTGCCCATTTCTTGAATACTCAACTCAAGAATGTTTTAACTCTCTCACACTCTCGTTCTATTTTATAGTTTAATCTCTCCTCAAGAATACGACACTGATCATTGAACTCTGCACTTAAGCAGCATAAACTCACTTTTTGTACACAGTCGTGAAGGGCTTCTTCCAAGGTGGTAATGTGATGAACTATCCCATCAATTGACTGAGCTGAGAATTCTGGATCAATTACATCAGGAGGTGGTGGAGGAAGTAGAACGTCCTGCGGAGTCTCAGAGTCATTATCCTCTTCGGAGTTAATGTACAGTTCACTAAAAGTAGTAATGAGCTCTCGTACAGGAGGTGGATCTCTTCGTGTGACAAAATATCCAGCAGTGAAATCTGGATTGGGCTCGCCCTCATCCCCTACAGCATCTGAAGAGACTGACATTTTACTGCATAGTTTTCAAACAAAAATGTACAAAATATTCTTGAAATACTTAAATTGCAAAAGGTCCCTGTTCGGGCGCCACTCTATAACTGTCCCAGCTACTTAAAACCGATGAGTCACAGAAATTAAAGGGGGGATCATATTTTGCAAAATACACAGGGAAGTATATAGGGTAAATCAAGAATCAAATAAAGAACATTGGAAAAGAAAACAGTCAAAACATCAGAAACTCTTTCATAAACATATATTGATATAATACAATATTGACAAACATTTATCAATTAAGTACACCAGCCAAACAAACAATCCCTAATAGTAACCGTGGGTGATCAGAAGAAGATTCTAGAGAATGAGTTAAGTCAATCAAATTCCCTAACAAGTCCATTTCCTCAGAATGAGATCAGGTCTGATTGCAGTC